TATGTTGAGTATTTTAATTTGAAACCAAGACAGTTAAGCATACTAATTTAGATGACTCAAAATCCCTTATTTAAAAAAAAAAATCTGACACAGTAAGGGAATTCAGTTTTTAACTCTCATAAAGATATAACAACAATAACAATTAAAAAAAAAAAAGCACAGTTACTTAAACAAGTAAATTTGTTAATTCAAGGAAGGAAATGGAGTAGAAGACCAAAACTCTGACACAAGGTATTTGCTCTGTACATCAAGGTACATGAAAGAAAATGTCTCAAAACAGGCAAACTACTGAATTACTCACTTCGTTACTGCCCCGGGCAGGTCTAACAGGCAAACAGAGCCCTAAGACTATGAAACACCCTAAAGGTTATGCCCATTATTATTAACCCAATGTCTCAGCTTCAAATACAGACTACTTTTTGAATTTTTAATTTTAATTTTGATTAACTGAGAGGAATACACGCCCATGTGGGCATCAGGGTGAGGAAGGTCAGGTGCGGAGGAAGGTAGGTGGAACAAGTTTCCATTTTTCTTTCCAATGTCCCCAGGGAAGGTGAGGGGGCTGCTGGTCCTTGCAGTCAAGCTACGTGAGCACCTGGAGAGGGGCCCATCATTCGATGAGCCTCCTACGCTCCTACGCTCCCTCCTATGCTCCCTGCTCTGATGCTAGCGCTCAGTCTTCGTGAAATACGTTCCAGCTGTGTCAAGCTCTGCCAGGAAGGAATTCGAGAGGATCGAGACTCACCTGCTCCTCCTGCCTGCTTGCTGTGAGCATCCTCCAGGCGTCCTGTATGAGTGCCATTTGTATTGGCATCCCCCAAAAGACTTCTAGTCCCAGCAGCTGCGAGAGCCCGCCCATGGCATCTGCTCAGCCTGGCTAGCAGCTTTTCCAGCATCTACCAGGAAGCCTGATCGTGCGCTCCTGCCCAAAGGTGACGGCTGAGACATAGTATCCCCTCCTCCGGCCTGGGAGACTCACTTTTTAAGCATCTAAGAGTTAGTAGTTTCAGTCTCTCATTTTCGTTCCCAGCCCTTCTGGTGGTCACCACAATGGCTTGCTTCACTCCTTCCTCCACTGCCAGTCACGTCTTTAATTAATGCCTAGTTCATATTACATACATCTTTCATATTAAACTGCTATTTTTGTTTCTAGCTTCTGACAGGAATGTAATTAATCTGAGTGAATGGTGTTATCAACATCACTAAGGGCTTGGGATGTTTCAGTTTGTAAACCACTTGGTAAACTTTCTGTTTACAAAACAGAAAATACTTTCACAAAACAAATCGGAGCCAAATACTCTTATTAGCATGTTATTATAATTTCAGTTAATAAACCATAATTACATCTATTACATGTATTTGACTCCAGTCACTGCGCAGTAATCATAAAACATATCCATCCTGAACTTTGTACCCTTTGAACAGCTCCTCATTTCCGGACTTTTCTCAGCCCAAAGCCTCTGCTAACTCCCACTCTACCCTCTGCTCCTACGGACCAACATTTTAACGCCCCACAGGTACGTGAAATCCTGCGGGACAGGCCTTCCTGTGTTTGGCTTATTTCACTTAGCATGTCTTCCAGGTTCACTCACAGCATCACAAACAGCAAACTTCCTTCCGTTTTAAGGCTGAGATCATACGCCACTGTATGTGCCATAGTTTGAATGTGAACTGAGTATATGCCCCAAAGGTTCTCGTGTTGAAAGTTTGGTCCTCAGTAGGGCAGTGCTGAGGTGGTGGTGGAACCTTTAAGAGGTGGAACATAATGCAAAGTAATTACGTCACTGGAGACGCTCCTCTCAGAAGGGGTCCGTGCAGCTCTTCTGGGATTCCAGTTCATCCCACCACAATGAGTTTTCACAGAAGAGAAAGCTTGAATCCCGAGTCTCTATGGCTTGTTCCTGACCTCGTAACCTGTCTATGCACATTAGTACCATAGCGTTTTACCACAGCACTTTGCACATACTCATTATATCATCAGAAGGCCTACCCAGAGCCAAGTGGAAGCCAGTTCTGTGCGCTTGAAATTTTACAACTAGGGGCCCAGTGCAATAGCCTAGCAGCTAAAATCCCTGCCTTGCAGGTGCCAGGCATCCTATACAGGCTCCAGTTCTAATCCCAGCAGCCCCACTTCCCATCCAGCTCCCTGTTTGTGGCCTGGGAAAATAATCAAGAACGGCCCAAAGCCTTGGGACCCTGCACCCATCTGGGAGACCTGGAGGAAGTTCCTGGCTCCTGGCTTCGCATTGGTGCAGCACTGGCCACTGCACCCACTTGGGGAGTGAACCATTGGACAGAAGATCTTCCTCTCTGTCTCTCCTCCTCTCTGTATACCTGACTTTGCAATAAAAATGAATAAATCTTTAAAATAAATAAATTACCAGTCCTCACTGGAATATAAACCTCACAGAGCTCTATCATTCACACAGTTTCCTCATAATGATACCACTAATTCACAAAAGGACCACACTCACAGCCCCTTTTCAGGAAAATCTTTCACGACTTCCCTGAGTTTTATCTAGTATAATATCTCCAACATAAGCCCACAATTGGGGTAGGGGGTCAGCACCATGGCACCGTAGTAGGCTAAGCCTGCACCTCTGGGCACCGGTTCTGGTCCTGGGTGCCTCACTTCTGCTCCAATTCCATATTTTTGGCAGGCTTTGAATCAGCTCAGCTCTGGCCATTGTAAGCAGCTGGGGAGTGAACCAGAAGATAGCAGATTCTGTCTCTACTTTTCTCCACAAATCTGCCTTTTAAAATTTTTTTTAAAAAATGTTTTTTTTTAATGCACAATTTTGGGGGCAGTGCAGTGCTCAACTGCTCAATCTTCCACCTGCAGTGTCAGCATTCCATATGGGCACTGGTTCATGTCCCAGCTGCTCCACTTCCCATCCAGCTCCCTGCTTATGACCTGGGAAAGCAGCAGAGGATGGCTAAAAGCCTCAGGACCCTGCACCTGCATGGGAGACCTGGAAGAGGTTCCTGACTCCTGGCTTTGGATCAGTTCAGCCTCGGGAAAATGATTCCAATATTTCTGGGCCTCTAGAACTGCAGAGAAATTTCTGATGGCAGTCCTAGAAAATTACACCAATATACATATAGAAAGAAAGATAATGTACATAGAAATAATGAAGAAAAGCTTTATGAGACGAATAGAATTTGAATATTGGTAGTAGAACTCGTATATTCATGATTAGAAAAAAAAAAAAAGAGGGAGGCATTACAAGAGAAAATGCAGTGATGAGCCAAGAGAGCTGTACAAGGAAGAATAACCCAGCTTTTTGACAGTAATAACACAGACTGCTCAAGATCTTGAATACTAGCCCAAAGATGTTTGAACTCTGATCTGTGGACAGCTAAGATCTCTGTAGCTTTGAAAGGGTAGGGAGTGAGTGTGAGAGGGAGACATGTATTGTGACCAGGATCTGAAAAAAGAAAAAAAAAATGACAAGCTCTGTAGCTAAATTACACACTCTTTTAAATCCCCCACCACATGCCACTTTTACTGTAAGGCTCAGGACTGAGCTAGGACCTGGCATGTGCACTACGCATCTGATAAACACTGAGTGAAGAATGTCATACGTTCTGCTTGTCATCACTACGTATGGAATACTCGGGCAGAACAGCATAACAAACTCAACTTTAACCACTTACCTTTACTCTGGTGGTCTGATTTTATAGATGGTTTTATTTTAAAAGTTAATATTGAACTACGAGATTGAACTGCATCCAGTGTGATTAATCCTCATCCTATTCCATCAGTGGGGGCTGTGTGAAGCCCATCTGAGACGTAATGTACGGAGTCTGAAACAGTACCAGTGTCTGCTACAGCGCTCAATTAGTGGACACACACACAGTTTACCACGCCACTCTTGGTGTAGAAGTTAGTCACCTGGTTTTTTAAAGGCTTTCCATGTTTTGTTCAGTACAAGAAGGAAAAATCTTATAACTGCAGATGTTCATTAGCTGTGCATGGTAAATCCCGGAGCGTTGCATCGAGTAGCAAACAGCTCGAGTCTGGAATGTAGGGGGGATAAAGGGCTCTTCTTCCTTCTGCACTGCAAGATTTCAGAGCACCAGTACCCCGGCCGGAGAGACACCACACTCATCTGCCTGTCTCTACGTCTTAGGAAGGGTCTAGCTGTTGGGACGGAGCAGCAAAAGCAGGATGGGCCCGGGAGGGGGAAACCTGTCCTTCGGCCTGTGGAAGCCAGAGAAAGGCGGAACTGTGGAAATACCAACTCCCCAGGCCCCAGAGTGTAACATCCACATGCACAGGTGAGAAGTGGAGTAAGGAATTTGTCGTTTAAAGACTTAAAATATGAGTTCATGACATAAGCCAGACACACAACGTCATAGATCCGTTGTGGTAGCTGCTACGCGCTTCCTGACGTCAGAGGACGAGCAGAGGGCGTGTCCGTTCGCCTGGGTGTAAAGCTGCTTACGATCCCACTGCAGTTAGTTTGGGTTGGCGTTTTAGAGCCAGGGTAAATCACTCCTGGCCTCCAAATCCTACTCGCACAGTCCAGCCCGGAGCCAGGAAAACAGCCACTTTCTGGAAAAACCAGCGCCGAGAAATGACGTCATCGCCCCGCCCCTGTGGGCACGCTCGGTAGGCGCAGGCGCACTCCTGAGCCTCGGTGCACGGCGCAAGCGCAGGAAGGCGCGGCGCCTCGCCGTCGCGCGTCGCCAGGAGGCGCAGTTTAGGGAGCAAATGTGTTGCATAAAGGGACCTGAGGCGGAACACAGCGACCAGAAAAAATGGTGTGTTGTGGAGGTCATTTAGAGTCCACCAACTCAGTGACACGCAAAACGGATGACAGATAAAATGCCCTTTGTGCCACGCCAGGAGCTTCATGACAAAGGAGACATTTTACTCCCCCGTTTCCGTGGAGAAGAGAGCTGCGGCGGGCCTGCGGGCGGCCGTCGCGGGTGACGTAAGGCCCGGTGACGTTTCACACGCGCCGGGTGACGTGCCGTACGCGCCGCCACTCCTCCAGCCGGCCAGCGTGTTCCAGGACGCCGCCATGGGCAAGGTGAATGTGGCCAAGCTGCGGTACCTGAGCCGGGACGACTTCAGGGTCCTGACAGCGGTAAGGAGCCTCCGTCCCCGTCCTCCCGCGTCCATCTCCGCCGCGCGTCGGGTTCCCCCGGTGGAGAGAGCCGAGCGGGAACCGGGGCAAGGAGCCCGCGGAGCAGGATTTGGGTGAGGCTGGTGTGTATGGTTCTTTCGGATGCCCCGATTCTGTCCTGCCACGGCTGGAGCTGCACCAATCTGAAGCCAAGAGCCAGGAGCCTCTTCCGGGTTTCCCGCGAGAGTGCAGAGTCCCAAGGCTTTAGGTCGTCCTCGACTGCTTTCCCAGGCCACAAACAGGGAGCTGGATGGGAAGTGGGGCTGCGGGAATCAGAACCAGTACCCATATGACTCCTTCAAGGCGAGAACATTAGCCCCATTTGGTGATTTGTCAAAGCAGCTGTTTAGATGTCAGCGGGGACTTTTTTATCGTGTGTCGCTGTGTGCATCAGGAACTCGGGATTCCTTGCCTTGAAGTGCAGGGGAGGTTTGATGTTGGCGATTATTTATTACATTGTAATTGGCAGCATGCTTAGAGAAGCGAGTAATTTTGTTTTAAAATTAGTGGTGTGCCCCATGCCCATGGTCTGGTCACTGACAGGCTGCCACAGATTGTGTCACTCGATGCCCTGGGAGGGGCCTTAGTCCGTGTCCCCGCACGTGTCTCTTGGAGGGTGTTGTGACTGCACAGTGGTCCCTTGCATTGCAGGTTGAAATGGGCATGAAGAACCACGAGATCGTTCCCTGCAGTTTGATTGCGTCCATAGCCAGCCTTAAACATGGTGGCTGCAATAAAGTTTTGAGAGAGTTAGTGAAGCATAAACTCGTAGCCTGGGAGCGTACCAAAAGTAAGTATTTTTCAAGGCGCCTTTTGTGACTTCTTGGGTCATTGGTTTCCGCTACAGCAGGTGTTGCAAAAGGCAAAGGTGGAAGTTGGCAGACTAGATAGAGCACTAACAAATGTAGGCAGCAGTAGGGCCCATTTACTTCTGTCACACTGTGATTGTCAGGGGCGTCAGGCTCACCCGGACCAGGAGTGAGGCCGAAGCCAGGAGTGGCAAGGTCGCACCGCAGAGTAAGTGGAGTAGGGAGTGCATTGCAACCAGCCTTGAAAAGGACAGTCTGCCACAGGGCTCACCCTGGCACTGCATCACAGACCAGCAGGCGTCCTCAGACCTGTCACAGATCCTGACTTTTAGGAGATAGAATCAGAATACTTGCTGTGAAAATGAGGGGAGTAACAGATACACGCATACATAAATTGAAGTTCTAAACGTGAAATTCTCCCTTTTTGTCTAGCTGTGCAGGGCTATCGGCTGACAAACGCGGGCTATGACTACCTTGCTTTGAAGACACTTTCTTCTAGACAGGTGGTCGAGTCTGTTGGAAACCAAATGGGCGTCGGCAAAGAATCAGGTCAGTGCTGTAACAGAAGCATTGGAGTATTTTCTTCGCTCTAGTCTGTACTTCCACTTGAAAGGCATTCCTGTTTTGATTTTAATGTTTTTCAATGTTTAAACAGCAGATGGGGAAAGGTTGTGAACATACCCTCGCCTATAGTAGGTTAAGTTGTGTTCTGCGTAAGTCCTTCAGCAAGAAGTCATTTTTCTCTGACAGCTGAAAACTTTGACAAATATTTTCTTTGTTCTTATTTCACATCTGATGAGTACACATTTGTATTAGTTAAAAATGTGTGTGCCACAAGGTAGAAGAGAGTGAATGTCTAAAAACCTCACAAAACAGTTCTGCAGCATAGCCATATGACCAACAGGCAAAAATAAGTACGTATAGCTCACAGAAAAGACAGTGTTTTAAAATAGCTCAGCATAATACTTTGCATAAATACTTAAGTATTCCTTAGGAGACCAGGTGAGAGTAGAGCAGGCCATGATTGTGTGTGTGCCATAGTCCTTTGTGCTCTGCTTTTACACGTCGCTGCTGTACTAACTGGAGTTGTTCCTGCTCCTTGGTAAGCAGTGCCGGAGTGAACGCTCTTGGGTGCATGTCTCCATGCAGGCATTCTTAGAAATGGACTCACTGGGGAATGTGTTAGTTTGTGGTATTTTCTCAGTTGTACAGGCTAAAAGTCTCAAGGTGTGGTGTCTCCTGAGACGGCTGCCATCCCAACCCGTCCGTGGCCTGCTCCGCGTCTCTCAAGCCTCCTCTGTTAATGACACTGTTCCTGCTAAGTCAGGCCCTACCCTTATGACCCTGTTTCTTTATTTGAAAGGCAGAATGACAGATCATCCATCGTCAGGTTCATTCCTTAGGAGCACACAGCAGCAGGCGTTGGATGAGGGCAGAGCCAGGAGTCTGGAACGCCACCAGGTCTCATGTGGGTGCTGAGGACCACACGCTTGAGCTGTCATCTGCTTTTGCAAGCACATTAGAAGGAAGCTGAGCGGGCTGCCCTGTATGGGATGTAGGCATTGCAAGTGGCAGCTTGACCTGCTATTGCAGTAGAGCCTGTTTCTTTTATTTCTTTTCTCTTTCTTTCTCTCTCTCTTTAATTGGAAAGCCAGATATACAAAGAGGAGAAGAGACAGAGAGGAAGATATTCCATCCGATGATTCACTCCCCAAGTGGCCGCAACAGCCAGAACTGCACCAATCTGAAGCCAGGAGCCAAGAGCCTCTTCTGGGTCTCCCACGTGGGTGCAGGGTCCTTGACTGCTTTCCCAGGCCACAAGCAAGGAGCTGGATGGGAAGCAGTGCCACCGGGATTAGAATTGGCACTCATATGGGATTCCGGCACATGCAAGGCAAGAACTTTAGCCACTAGGCTACTGCCCTGGGCCCTAGAACCTGTTTCTTAACAGAAATTTAATCATTAAAATGTTCTCATGAGTGATGAAAATGTGGCCTAAATATCAGTTTTACACATAATATCTTGTTTTGATGGTAACAATTCAGTGCTGCTCATTATAAAGCAGTTAAGGAGCTGAACTTCCTGATGTAGAAAAGAAAGATACTAAATCCCCTCTCAGCACACTAGGGAGCAACGAGATGTTTTCTCATTGAATGGATTGCTCTGACTTACAGTGGAATGTGCATTGAACAGTGACCTGTGACAAGCGGCAACTCCGCTTTCTTTTGTGGTAGATGTTCATAGGGGTTGGCTTGTGATCGTGGGTGGTAATTCACGTAAAGGGGTGAATGTGTGAGATATAAAGAATTTTGCCAAAAATTTCTAGTAATATTAGGAAAGAAATGTTTTTAAAGGGTTGGCCTTGGCATACATCTGGGCTAGCTGCCACCCATGATGTTGGCATGCCACATAGGCTGTGTGATTCAAGTCCTGGCTGTTCCATTTTCTATCCATTACCCTGCTAATGTGCTTGGGAAGAAAACAAAAGATGGCCCATGTGGACCTGGCGTGGTGGCTCAGTAGAATAATCCTCTGCCTGTGATACCAGCATCCCGTGTGGGCCCTGGCGCAAGTGCTTGGGCCCAGGGCATCCAGCCGGGACACCTGGCAGAAGCTGCTGACTGCTAGCTTTGGATTGGCTCAGCTCTGACCATTGTGGCCATTTGGGAAATCAACCAGTGGTTGAAGATTTTTCTCCCTGTTTCCTTCTCTCTCTCAATCTGCATTTCAGAAAGAAAATTAATAAATTTTTATAAAGAAAAAAAGGTGGCCAGTGTGTGCCCCACATGGAAAACCAGCTGGAATCCAGGGTTCTGGCTGGGCCTGGCCAGCTCCAGCTAATGGGGAGCTGTCAGTGGATGGAAAACATCCCATCTCCCCCTCCCTCTGTGACAGTGCCTTTCAAATAAGGAAATCTTTTTTAAAAATAAATCAATTTGAAAAGTTGATCAAAATCAGACCAAGTTCGAGTTTGTAACTCAGTGCAGTGCTGAGGCCGCTTCACTCTTGGCTCTAGACATCTATATCGTTGCAAATGAGGAGGGACAGCAGTTTGCCTTGAAGCTCCACAGGCTGGGAAGAACCTCCTTCCGGAATCTGAAAAACAAGCGTGACTACCACAAGCACAGGCACAGCGTGTCTTGGCTTTACTTGTCTCGTCTCTCTGCCATGAAGGAGTTTGCCTACATGAAGGTAATTTTTAAGTCTTTCTACATTTTTCTCAGTACATAATACACGAAGTTGAAAGGCCTAGTGACAAGCTTCCGTGTGCTGGCCCCCCATCTCCATGCCTCTAGACCTAATCTCTAGACTCCCTTTGAACTGCGTTGATTGTTATTGTAGTGATTTACTCCAAGTGAAGGCATTTTTTATTATTATTGCTGCGTAAAAGTAATGGGTGTCCTATAATATTAGCACATGGAGTAGCTTAGAATAACGAATGGAATTGTTCCCTCACAGACGTGTAATAGTGGGATGTCAGTGTTCAGGATGCAGTTACAGGTGTCTTCCGCTAGTTGAATGCATCACATGACTGCCACCTGTACACAGTGCAACAGATATCAGCTTGCCAGTCTAAATATGTGAAAGCTTATTTTTAAAAATTGCTAACCCAATTAAATATCTTCAGTAACCATATTTAACAGAAAATAGCAATGTGTGCTTTTTATTCTGTCCAGGAAACTTTATTATCATTTATTTTCATTTTGTAAAATTTTGGATTTTTTGAAATCTACTTCAGTGAATCAGCAGCTGATTGTGGGGAGTTGGACGTGTTTGAGTGAGTTGCTCTAGTTTGTATCTCGTGTCTTTCTTGTCTTAAACTAACAGTTTGTGTCTTAGTTAAGCAGCTTGAGAGGAATTATTGAGCATTTTCCAAAAGCTGTGTCACATGCTTGCATTAGAGGAACAGAAACAGGTTGCCGTGTCTCCCAAGAGAAAAGAAATAAGGCTATAACTTGAAAATTAGGCTATACTACAAATCCTAGAGAAATCCTGAAATCTTTAAGGTTATCATATGCTGTTGAGCTGACAAACATGTTCAAAAGAGTTTTCACTCAGAAACAAAGCCAGCGGGAACCAGCATTGCACAAAGCGGATTAAGCTACTGCTTAAAACTCCAGCACCCAGTATCGGGTTGCTCGTTCAAATACCACCTGCTCTGCTTCCAGTCGGTACAGCCCCCACCACACCTCCGCTCATGTGCCTAGGGAAGTAGCAGATCAGAGCCACAGTGCTTGGGCACCTGCCCATATGGGAGACCCAGGAGGAATTCCTGGCCCCTGGTATGAGTGTGGACCAGGTCTAACCGTTACAGCGATTTGGGGAGAGAACAGTGGCTATGAGATCCCTGCGTTTCCCTCTGTGAAGATGCTTTTAACTAGTCTTTGAAAAGGAGAAAACGACTTATTTCACAGCTTTTGCCTGTTTTATTGTGTTGTAGGCATTACACGAGAGGAACTTTCCTGTTCCAAAACCGATTGATTACAACCGACACGCGGTGGTCATGGAGCTCATGAGCGGCTATCCCCTGTAAGTGAGCGCCGTCCTGCAGCCGGGCTTCAGGTGCCTTGCTAAACGGAATCCACTGTTGCTGGGGGCAGCTTAGACACTGACGTAGAAAATGGAAAATCTGGTTTCCTCCTGATCATGCAGACTTTGCAGTCTCTGTAATTGACTCATTTCCTCAGTGTTTATTAAGAGTCGGTTATGCTCAAACTCAGCGGGGAACCTGAGTGCTTTCCTGGTGGAATTTACATCCTGATGGAAAGAGACTTGCAATAAATAACTAAACAAGAAAATATGATCCTGCAAGTGGTAGAAGTGGTCTGGATAAAAATTAAAAAGGGTAACAAGAAAGGTAGGAGTTCTGAAGGTGGGGCTGGGACACTGCTGTTTCACATAGTGGTCGACTTGAAGAGCATCAGTGCAGCGACTTGAAGAAACTGCAGGAGCGTAAGACATGATTCCAGGTAAATTGAGAGCGCATGGGTCAGGGATGAGCTTAAGCCACTCGGCCACGGATCTGTGACCTGTCCAGAGGGGTGGGGCTGCAAGTAGTGCAGTGGGAGTAGGAGCAGCTGGCCAGGCCATTTAACATTCTGTGAGCCCTTGTGCAGGAATTTTCTTTTCTTTTCTTTTCTTTTTTTTTTTTTAAGATTTGTTTCTTTTTAAAGGAAAGTCAGATTTACAGACAGAAGGAGAGACAGAGGAGAGACAGAGGAAGATCTTCCATCCACTGGTTCCGAAGCCAGGAGCCAGGAGCTTCTTCTGGGATCTCTGACATGGGTGCAGGGACACAAGGCTTTTGGCCGTCCTCAACATGTCTCCAGGCCCAAGCAGGGATAGAAAGGAAGTGTAGCAACCAGGATATAAACAGTGCCCTCATGGGATCCCAACACATGCAAAGCGAGGACATTAGCCACTAGGCTACTGTGCCTGGCTCCAGAATTTTTCATTTTGATTCAGGCAGAAACCTTGGAAGTTCAGGAGGCAGTGAAGAGATACCCTGTCTTCCTAGGATAGCTCTGGCTGCTGTGAACAGAGACTTCAGAGAGAGAAATACAGAATTAGGAGACTGTTAGGATACAGAAGAAGAGATGATGGTAGCGGGTAATGCAGTGAGAGTCAAGGCGTGGTGGAAGTGGTCAACTCCTGGTAGCATTTTTTCAGTTCGAACCAGCGTAGTTGGTTTGGGATTAGATAAGGAGAGGAAAAAAATGGATGAGTCAACAATGACAGCAAGGTCTTTAGCATGAGTAACAAATTAATTGAGGAATGAGGTTGCTGCTTACCAGCAGGAGGGCTAAGAGAGAATGGGGCAGAATCGGGGATTCCGCTCTGGGCAGGGTAAACTTTTCAGAATCCAGGAAGCCATTGAGATTGAAATCATAGTGTTTGAAGCCAGAAACCAAGTTCAGTCGCTACAAACATATCCTGCAAAAGAGAAAGTTAAAGTTCTCAGATTGAAGATGTGATTGTGTCCCGAAAGCTAAGTGAAGAAAGCAGGGAGGGCAGAGAACAGAAATGGTGACTTGGAATTGACCTTACAGCGTAGAAGTCATTGGTGATCTTGGCAAGAGGTGGATGTAAAACGCCTGTCTGAGTTGGGCTCATTAGAGAGGGGAGGAAGGAACTGGAGAAAGCACGCGTAAGAAGACCAGGGCTGGCGTGGGGTGGCGCAAGAGAAGCCACTGCCTACAGGGCTAGCATCCCACATGGCACCAATTCGTGTCCCAGCTGTTCCACTTCTGATCCAGCTCCCTGCTAGAAGCCTGGGAAAAGCAGTGCAGGATGGCCCAAGGTTTGAGCCGCCACTCATGCATGAGAGCCAGCCAGGTGAAGCTCCTCTCTTTGGCCAGTCCTGGTGCTGGCTCTGTGGCTGCCCATGGAATAAGCCAATAAATGGAAGCTTCTCTCTCTCTCTCTCTCAATCTCAATCTTTCCCTTTCTCTGCATGTCTCTGTAAATCTGTTTCAAATAAATCTTTCATTTAGGTGCAAGTCCCCTGGGCTTTGGGCCATCCTTCACTGCTTCCTCAGGCCATTAGCAGGGACCTGGGTCAGAAACGGAGCAGCCAGGACATGAACCCATGCCGATTATGGGATGCCTGTGCTTGAAGGTAGAGGATTAGCCTGCTGAACTATGGTGCCAGCCCCCAAATAAATCTTTAAAAAAGAGAGAAAACAAAACAAAACAAAAAGAATGCAATAATAGCTGAAAATGAAGACTAACTAGCATGTGACTTTTTATACTTAGTTTCTTTATGGCTTGAGAAGTGTTGCATATGCTAGTAAGAATGAGCAGACAGGTGCTGGACTGGGGAGATGGTTGAAATAATGTAGGTTCATATGCATACATGTTAAAATCATAAATGAGTACAAATATTGTGTTCATGTATAAAATATTTTCAGATGTCAGATCCACCATGTTGAAGATCCTGCCTCTGTGTATGATGAAGCAATGGAACTCATCGTCAGACTTGCGAATCATGGGCTGATTCATGGAGACTTCAATGAATTCAATCTCATTTTGGATGAACATGACCATATCACCATGATTGATTTTCCGCAGATGGTTTCCACTTCTCATCCCAATGCTGAATGGTATGTGCTGAAACTGACTGGATTTGAGTGTGTTTGGGTGTGACGAAATCATCTCCTCCCCCGTAATAGCCCAGTTTTATAAAGCAATCGTTTGGGTCAGTAACTCATTTGAAGTAGCTGATTCAAAGCCTATAAGCATTTTCCTGTTGCTAAATGTTAAAATACTAAAATATTCCTCATAAAATAGGAAAAAAAATTTACCTTGTTCCCATTTTTTTAAACCTGGTCATGAGGCATTGTGTCATAGTGGGTTAAGCTACCATTTTGGAATCTCCGGAGTTTTAGTTTGAGTTCCAGCTGTCCAGCTGCTCTACTCATCCCACTTTTTGCTAATGTGCATGGGAGGCAGCAGGTCAGGGCCCTGGTGCTGAGCCCCAGCACGCATCTATCTACCCTCCTGAGTTCTCACATTTGCCTAGCTTTGCTACTAATATGTATGATCATTGTTGCTAGTATCATAAACATAACTCAGTAGTCTCTAAACTCTAAGGAGTCTTTAATTGACTTTTTTGTCTGATTTGTCCAGTTTGCTAGAGGCTGTGGTATGGATTGCCATTGGGAACGCAGCCAGCCGGCCGGGGAACTAAGGAGCTGAGTGCACGCTGACCTCTCCTGAGGTTCACGCTCACCTTCCTTCCGTTGGTGCATCTCACAGTCTGAGTCGTGCTCCTGGAAACTTTGAGTTTGCTAGCTGTGTTGAGAAGCTTACCCCCTCGAGCTTTGCTGGATTTTTCAAAGCTAGCAAACTCTGGTTATGTTTTCCCCAGTGTCTTTTCTTCTTCCTAGAACAAGCAGTAGAGTAGTAAATGATAAGCTATCACCAGCTAATGGAGACCACCACAACATGGCTGTCTCAGAAATCACTCTTTTCCAGGTATTTCGACAGAGATGTTAAGTGTGTGCGAGAGTTCTTCATGAAGCGCTTCAACTATGAAAGTGAGCTTTACCCGACATTTAGTGACATCAGGTTTGTGCTTGGCGTTACTTAAAATAGCTGGTTATTTAGTTCTAAAAGTTACATTTTCATCTAAAAAATTGTGTATTATGTGCTTTGACACATAATAAATTCTTTTTGAGGGCCATTGCCCTATAGCATCTAAGTGAGATTTTTAGAACTTGAAAATGCCTGCCCTGGAACTGGCATTGTGTCACAGTGGGTTCAATAACTGCCCACACTGGCAACATTCCATAGCAGAGTGCCAGTTCCAGTTCCAGCTGTGGTGCTTCTGGTCGGGTAGCTGACCTTGGGCCCCCGTACCCACGTGGGAGATGCCGGGGAGTTCCAGGCTTCTGGCTGCAGCCAAGTCCGGCCCTGGCTGTTACAGCCATGTGTGGAGTGAACCTGATGAAAGAGCTTTTTGTCTGTCATGATGCCTTTCAAATAATTAATAGTAAATTTTTCAATAAAAGAAAGAAGAGTGCCTGCTTTTGGTGCTTTGAGATAATTATTGAATTTTGGGAAGGAATGTATACGGTTTCTTTCTAAATTTAGAACTTTTTTGAGTGCTATGTGAATAACAGATTCGTAAAGAATCAAACCAAAGGTTTACTGAAACTTCATTTTCTCATTTAATTTTGTACATTAAGATATTTTCTGATTTTGAATGGTTCATATAACTTAGAAGAGACCTTAGCCCTGTTGTAAATTTACCAAGCTAGTAAGTATAAAATGAATTTTCTATAACTCTTTTATTAATATGTGCTGCAGAATGTCATTTTATTAATAAAAGGACAGTGTCTGTCTTTTATATTTGCATACTTAATTGCAAAGTATTAAATTGTAGGCAAAGGAAAGCCTTTAAAATTTGTGCAGTATTAAACTTGCCTGGAAAACAATTTATTGGAATAATAGATACTTAGATAAACATGCGTTTCTCTCCCTTTCTGCCCTGGACCCTTTTTCCTCTCCCTTTTGTGCTCTGGACCCCTTTTCTTGCCTAGGAGGGAAGATTCTCTAGACGTGGAGGTGGCTGCCAGCGGTTACACAAAGGACATGCAGGCGGATGATGAACTGCTTCACCCAGCCGGGCCAGATGACGGAGATGCTGAGGCAGAGGGGGATTCGGATTCTTCACCTTCTGACGAAGAGGAGTCAGAGAAGAGGAAGGTCTGTAGGTCGGAGATCGGAAGTAAACAGAGCTCTGTGGATGAGCCAAGTGGCCACTGTCGCAGGTCATCTGGAGAACTCGAGCAAATACAGGAAGACAGTCTGTCAGGTGACAGTGCTGGCGCATCTGCCTTTGAAATGACGGGTGTCAGTCAAGCTTTAGAGGAAATCGAAGGGCAGGTCGCTGAAAGCAGTTCAGTGCCCGAGTTTCCTGGGGAGAAGGACAGAACTGAAACTGGCGCAGTGTGGGACGGACAGGCTGCTCCCGGAGGAGTCCCTGCTGGCCCTGACGAGTGCGACGACCACTGTCCCGATCTGATTCCCCTGTCGTCGCTGAACAAGGAGTTCAGGCCTTTCAGGTATGTTGTAGTGATTGATTGACTTGAAACTTAAGACCAGTGCTTTTCTTTGATTCTGTTAAATTCATGTTTTGGGGAGGAAAAAGCAAATGACATGACGGAGAATTCTGCTGCGATGGTGTGTAGCGTGAAACTCAAAAAGCTTTTTGCGGGGGGCGGTCTTTAAAACTCAAAATATCCTTCTTTTTATATGATGTAATTCTAGGCTGCCTGATGGCTAAGCCTCGTGGAATTCTGCCTCGTAATAATACAAGCTGATGATGCAAGTAACACTTCCAAGTGTTACTGTAAGTCTCATGATAAAATCATAAGTGTTTGGATAGATGAGAATTATTCCTCAGATTTTCATAATCACATGTATGTTTGATAATAATATAAATGTGTAAAACACGCTGTGAATGTGCTGTGTTTAAGATCTACAGTGAGTTTCCTCTGGTATTTCAAGCCATCTGTTCATGTAAAGCTGAAATCATGATAGTCATGTTTTTAAGGACAGTTTTATTAAACATTTCCTGTTACATATTCAGACTTATGTTTTAAAGCTTTTGTAGTTTTGTTTATGAGGCAGATCCATGGGAGTTTTGTGCATATAACTCTGCATCTTAAGCCTCAAGTCTGTTATCATTTGACTAAACCAGGAAAATTAAGCTTAAAAGAGGTCAGTATGGCAGCTCAACAGGCTAGCCTTCCACCTGCAAGCACCAGCATCCAGTATGGACATCAGTTTGTTTCTCAGCTGCTACACTTCTAATCCAGCTCCCTGTCTGTGGCCTGAAAAGTCAGTGGAGAACTGCCCAAGGCCTTGGGCCCCCCTGCACCCATGTGGGAGACCCAAAAGAGCTCCTGGCTCCAGATCAGCTCAACTCTGGCTGTTGCAGCCAATTGGAGAGTGAACCAGCAAGTGGAGGATCTTTCTTGTCTCTCCTCTCCGTATGTAAATCTGCCTTTTAAAAAGAGAAAGAAGAGGCAGTACATTGGTTTAGGATTCTGTACTAGTCTGGGATCTCTAGAAAAAATAAAATCAACAGAAAATAGTTACAGGTGTTCCTCAACCTCCAGTGGGTGTGTGTTAATAAACTCATCCTGAGTTTAATGCAGTCACTGCACCCAACCCACCAAGCATGCACAGGTCTCCACGCAAAAGCCGCCTTCCACCCTTGTAACTGTGCGGCTGGCAGGTTTAATGCAGTTGTTGCACCCAGCCCGCCGAGCATCCAACGGTGACAGGCCTCCGTGCAGAACCCACCTCCCACCCTCGTGACTGTGGCTGACTAGGAGGTGCAGCACAACATCCTGGGAAGCAAGGTACTGCATGTTGCTAACCCAGTTGAAGATCAGTATTTGAAAGGTGCTTCTTGACAAATGTGTATTATTCCTTGAGCCACCATAGAATCAAAAAACCTGAAATTGGACCATTGGAAGTTGGAGGCCATCTGTGTACAGACTGGCTCACTCAATTACAGATCGGAGAAGTCCCCAAATCTCCTGCCACTGCCGGTGGAGTTACAGGAACAGCAGTGGTGTCTCGTTCCAGACTACACACGTGAGAAGGAGAAGCCGCAGTGTACACTCTGGTCCAGATCCAAGAGCAGAAGACCACTGTGCCAGCTCAGGCAGGCTCCGGAGGGAGTGCTCACGTGTTCTGGTTGGGCTTCCAGAGGGCTGGAGGAGGCCTGCCCCTGTAGAGAGTGTATTCTGCTTCATTTGGTCTACCTGTTCCAGAATACCCTCCAGAATAATGTTTAACCTTGTGGGAAGAAAACCTACAAAAAAGGGTTGGTATCTTTTAGAGAGAGAATGGAGTAGTTAGCTGCCTTTATTCCCTCGATCCATACTGGGTGAAGCTTGTTAGCAGAGTAGTTGTTGCTGAAAAATATTGACTACAAGAAGTTAATATTGTCTGAGTTCATGTAAATTGTATGTCTGTTAACTTCAAGCAGTGCGAAAAGCAACACTATTTTCTACCGTAATGGAATAGACTCAGCACTCTGATGCCATTCATTTCTACATTATTTAGCAAGGTGACAAGAAAGAGTCTGATAAATTTAAAGAAGCAGAAATATGTACAGTTCAGTAAAAGAAGAGAAATGAAAAAGACACACACAAATTGTAGAGCAATAGTAAATTTTGTTGGCTAAAACTTTTCTTATTAGATTTATTTTGATTTGAAAGAATTACAGAGGCAAGGAGAGACAGAGAACTCCTCTTGGTTCACTTCCCAAATGATCCCAACAGCCAGAGCCGAGCTGATCTGGCAGCAGGAGCCTCCTGCAAGGGTACAGGGACCCAGGGCCTTGAGCCATCCTCTGCTGCTTTCCCAATGGCTAAAATACTCTGCCAGTATGAAATTTTGATAGTGACTATATAAAGGATAAGAAAATGAAACTAATGAAATATTAGACTACAGTGTTACAAAACTTTATAGAAACTTTAGTATCTCAGACATACTTTACACACAAGTTTTGTTGTCCTACAAGAAACAATATAAATCGATTTAATCAGATATAGCTAGTTACTTTATGAGCTTGGTATTATGAGGTTTTTTTCTTTTATATTTTAGAGATGAAGAAAGTATTACTCAGCATAGAACAAGAACTCTGAGCATTACTTCCACAAGCAGTGTTGTGAGCTGTTCCACGATTCCTCCGGTGAGTATTCACTCAACGTCGGGCTTATGCGCTCTCCTCTTGGAATGGGTGAATGCTTTTAGGCACCGTGAGAACCACAAGGTGTCTAGGGCGCGGACAATGGACCTCCTGTGTTAATGGCACACTGTTGTAGTGGTGCACAGTTGGCAGTAGGAATCAAAGAGCTCACTTGTAGCTGGCGTGATCAAAGCTTTCGGGGAAAGGGCAGCCTATCAATGACCTTGATAAGGTCATAGAAATTGAGATGCAAGGGACATCTCAATTTTGAAATGTTTTTTGAAAGAGAAGAGTTAAATAATTTTTAAATTTAGGGTATCTTGAATTTCTGCTTTACCCTTTGGTTTTAAACAGCAGTGTCTACAGGGATTTTAAAAGGCACAGTTTCCAGGCAAAGCTGACTACACACAGCCCAGCCGCCCTGGGCAGTGTTTTTGCCTGCCGGCTTTCTTTCAGAGCAAGGCAGGAGTGTTTGAGAGACTATCCCGCGCTGCATGGCCAATCTCTCTGTCCGTGGTGGGATTGTACAGGCAGGCCACCCTCACTGCCACTTCAGAACAGCGTGAGCATGTAAATTTATTTCAAATAAATCTCTTATTTAGGTACAAGTTTGTAAGGATTTGGACCATCCTCTACTGCTTTTCCAGGCCACAAGCAGGAAGCTGTAGGGAAGTGAGGCAGCCGGGACACAAACCAACACCCATATGAGATGCAGGTGCTTACAAGGCAATGATTTATCCACCGAGCCTCAAACCAGTTTCCTTTTCCGTCCCTCTGTTGACGGGCATCTGGGTTGTTTCCATGTTTTTACTATTGTGGATTCTGTCGCTGTGAACAGAGGATTGCAAATCACTTTCTTGTACAAATTTCCCTTCCTTCGGATATATTGTCAGGAGTGGGATAGCTTGGTCGTATGGTAGATGAATATTCAGTTGTCTTAGCACTCTCCGTACTGACTTCTGTAATGGCTGCACTAACCTTTACTCCCTCCAACAGTGGAGTAGGAGATATCTCCCCACGTCACCATCCACACTAGCAGGCGTTAGTAGATTTTTGAATGTAAGTCAATATCATTAGTTAGGTGGAACCTCAAGTTGGTTTTTGCTTGTATTTCCCTGATAGCTAGGGATCTATGCATTTTTTTTTCTTATGCGTCTATTAGCCATTTGAATTTGTTCTCTTGAAAAATAACCTGCTCATTCACTTTACCCATTGCTTCGCAGGGTTGCTTATTTTGTTGTTGTTGAGTTTCTGAAGCTCTTTGTAAATCCTGGATATTAGTCCTCTATCTGTTGTTTACTGTGCAAAGATTTGCTCACACACTCTTGCAGGAACTACAGCCTCGTTGGGGCAACCCCGATAACCCCAACCAGACCCTCCCCAGCCTCAGTTCTTGCACATGCTGGTGTGTACAACAGACTGGTCCAATTCATCCCATGGCCCTTTGGGTCTCATATACACCCATAGATGCTGCCACCTTGTCCAGTCAGGCTCGCCCCCAGTCCTGGTTCTCATGCTCACTGTGGGGAGCTGCAGCTCATCAGAGGAGTGCCCACTCCCAGCCCTGGATCTTGCACTCTCCAAGTGATATTGCGATTCTTAGTAACTAATCCTGGCACTTGCCAGTGGATGCTGCGGCAAAGCCCAACCAGCTTGCACTTGTTCTGGCTCATATCTGTGCCAGATGTGGTGAGCTAGCCCTTCAGGGAAGACCCCACAGCACCCCCTTCCAGGCTCATCCCTGGCCTGGAATCTTGCATGTGTTGTTGGGTGCTGCAGCCTGGTTTGGCAGGGCTCACCTGGCCTTAACATTCACCAGCAACTGCTGCAGCCTGACCTTGCTCAGCCTTCCCCAGTTCCAGTCATGCGCACGTGCTGCAGACTAGCCTAGCCTGGCCAGCCCCCAGTCTCTGCACTAATGTGAACTGGCCCAACACAGCCTGTGCTTTACCCCATCCTGGCTCTAACACCTGCCAATGAGTGCTGTGACTTAGGCCTCATCTAATCCACATGTTTGCCAATGAATTCTGTAATCCTGGCGTGGTCTGGGCTGCTCCCAGCCTCAGCTCACACTCACCAACAGGGACTGTATCCTAACAGAGGAGTTCCCCAAGCTCTTCTGTCGGGCCACTTCCCACTCAGGAGTCTTGCGCACAGCATGTGGGTGCTTGGCCCAGTCTGACTTGGCCCACCTCCTATCCCAGCATTCACTGGTAGGTACAGCGGGTCCTGCAGTCCTGTGGCTGGATTCCCTTCTTGGGTTCCCAGCGATCTTCCCACATGATGGCTGGTGGAGTTCCAGTCCCCATAGGGGAGTGTTTCTGCAGCACCGCTCTGCTGCATGCTGCCTTCCCATGCCAAGTCTGCAGCTGTCCCTCTGCCCTCGGCCTGTGCCCTCCTGTTTTCCGGGGTCACGCCCTCTCTGTTTCTCCGCCAATCCTTCTCCAGCCATTCTGACTTGTCCTCACCCTATTCTTCCATCTCCCTGTCATCACTCTTGACTAAAGGCTTGCTAAATGTTAAAACTTGTGGCTTGGAAATGGTCTCCCTGAGAGTTCTGCAGGCATTGCTCTGCCTTGAGGCTTCCAGCCTTAGAGTTGGTGAAGATGCTGTTTGGGGCCCAGATTCCAGGCTCCTGCTGGGATGGGAAGACTGGGGGGCTGATGGCCTTCCTGGGGTACGGGAAGGCTCTGACCCTGTTAGCCAGCTCTGCTGCTCTGTCCTGACACCTGTGGACTCAGGTGCATCTGTGTCTAAGGCCTTCCCGAATGTGGGTAGCCGCCTCCCAGGTGTCAGCCTCAGTGGAGACTAAGGTTCTCAGGCCCTTTCGTAATCAGTCAGCAAGCCAGAGAGGGCAGGTACAATCTGCTTGGCTGTGAAATAACTCAGAGTCGGCCCTGCGCTCATCCAACCAAGAGCTTTATATCCTACAGTTCGAAAACCAGGACAATAGACAGACTAGTTGTTCTAGCTCTCTTTTAGCTCAAAACTCCATTTTTCTTTCATTTTCATAATGTTTCTTTGTGCCAAGCATATGTTGAGACATGCAGAAAACCTTGGCTTCTGTCTGCGATATTTGTCTCCCCTTGAAGGAGACAGATTGGATGATGCAATTGTACACAAATTAAGTAGTGGGCTGAGGTGCTTCTGAGAAAAGGTCATAATGGACTGACTGCTTCAGACTGCATCCTCACCTTGTGAGTTGTGTGACGTGTAGCTTGTGTCTTCACTAATGAATAATTTGAATTTGCATATCATTTTCTATGGGAAAGCATTCTACAGCTCCCCCCCAAAAAAGCTCCATGGTGGCTCCGGATGCCATCAGGTAATTTCTGCTGCTGCAGCTGTGATGGCAAGCTTGAATTGTACTGAGTGATAGCATTTTGTGAGATACTTTCCCATTATGAAACTAAACACTGGAAAGCAGAGCAAGCTTCATTTTTTTTCCCCTACAGTTTTCGTGATGGACACTAGGTGGCACTATGGTAATATATTGTCTAAAGAACTGTCTGCCACATATTTTTCACTATAGGAGTAAAATCTGTTAGAAATTTCATTTCTCTTGTTATAACACTTTTATTGTGTTTAATTGCTCAATCACATAATACTACAATTGGAGTTTTTAATATTTTGACAGCATAAATTTGAAAAATAACAGCAAATGGAGATGCTTATTTTATTGGGATTTTTCTCCTTAACAAAATGATTTGCTAACACGGATTCTGACTTCTGAAATCTTTCCAGGAACTGGTGAAACAGAAGGTGAAACGTCAGTTGACAAAACAGCAAAAATCAGCCGCAAGACGTCGGCTACAGAAAGGAGAGGCCAACATATTTACCAAGCAAAGGAGAGATAATATGCAAAATATTAAATCAAGTTTGGAAGCAGCCAGCTTTTGGGGGGAATAACCTGTGTTAAGATGTTGCATAGAGGCTCACGTTGTAGTGCAGCGGGTAAAACCGCTGATGACAAAGCCAACATCCCATACTTTAGTGCTGGCTTAATCCAGGCCACCCTTGGGGAAGCATCGAACAAAGACGCAAGTGCCCGGACCCCCAGCCGAAGCTGTGAGGGGGACCCACGTGAAGACGGCCAGCCCCGGCCCTGGCTGCTGGGAGTGAACCAGTGGATGGAAGATCTCTGTTTCTCCCTCTCTTTGCTGGCCTGCCTTTCAAATAAATAAATTAGCCCTTTTTATTTAAGGCCTTGGATATTTCTAGTTTATATTTTATGTTACCATAACCTCATCTCCAGCCACATTTAGTTCTGCTTTAGACAAAGACCAGTACATCTGTATAATATATACACACATACAAAAATGCTCCACTCACCTACAAATTTGTCTCATTCCATATTTCCTCTAAAGAGAGAGGACTAATGGTAATTTGGCTGAAGAGTCCATTTTTTTAAGTCCTTTTTTCAGGATAAGTTCATTAGAAATTTTACATGTATTTTTTTTTTAAATCTCAGTGATCAGTTGGCTGATTTGGGGGCTCTCTCCCTAGCAGGCTAATTACACTTGCTTTCAGCTCCCAGCTTCTGTATTTCCTAGAGGTTTCTTTTGATGACAAAAGTTCATTGCCTTTTGTTTGTTTCATTCTTTAGAAGAAGGAATAAGTCAGTACTGCATAATGCAACTTATCAAATAATAGGTTCCTGGGTATCTCCTGTGCCACTGACGTGGGTAGCATGGCCCTGGTAACAGATAGTCCTCCCACGGTGTTTAGCTGCCAGGTTGTACACTGGTCTCAGCAGGAGTCAGTAGACGAGGATGCAACAAAGTAGAGGGAAGGAGAAGTGAAAATCCTTTCTCTTTTTAATGTTTTATTTATTTGAAAGCAGCAAAATGAAGGTGTTTCCATTTGTTAAAGCCAAGAACCAGACTGGCCCAGCCCCAGCCATGCAGACACAAAGGAAATCTCTGTTTGACTCTGCCTTTCAAAATCAACATATAAATGAAAAACTAATTCTCTCCCCAAAGACTAGGTGTTTCTAAAAGTACTTTCTAAGCCAGTAAGCGTAGAGACCAAGCTATGTACGTGCACCTGCACAGAAGTTTGGCCACAGGAGGTAGCTTCACCTCAGTTGCTTTCATTGGAGATCACAGAATACTGGAGATTTTTCCTAGGAGTGACAGACACCCGATTCTCACTTTTGCAAAATTAATTCTAGTGGCTATTTGCAAGATCCTCCACTGGCTAATAAATGCATTGGAATAACTGGATGCAAGAAAGTGTCAGATCCAGTTCCTTTGAAAATTAGACCTACTTTGAATTTAGAGATGTCTTAAAATTCAGTTATTTTTCTTTAGATTTGATGTAAAGCATTTTTATGGCATAAAATAATGCCGAAGACAGCTTAATAGAATCACAAAATGTTTATTCTAGAGTACATTGTATTCTATCCAGAATACTGAAAGCAAATTGGGAATACAACTGCATGACTTCATCGCACTTGGCTTTGCCGAGTGGACCGAGTCAACTCTCGGGAACCCACCACATAAAAAGGCATTATGAGAAACTGAGAAAGCAAACAAACTCAACTGTTATTCTCAACAGCCTCAGACTTCACGTGGGCCACAGAACAGCATGTTCCAATCAGAACTGGAGGCCTCGCCTTATTTGGACGAAGACGCTAACTCCCGAAGAGTTGGTAATAAATGACCTGATAAGACATTTAATTACTTTCTGGATTATGTTTGGGTGGTATTAAAACTGATCCAACCACAGCGGTGATGTGTCAAAGATTATCCATCAAGGAAGTGTCAGACCGTCTGCCCTCACATTTTAAAACACCCACAGAGAACAGTAATGCAAGACCAGAGTCTGACTAATGTGAAGTTATATGTTGTGTTGCCAGACTATTTCACGGATCCGTACCCAGATCCTGGTCCGACCACTTCACCACCACACTGTGTGCTCCAGAAGTGACGTGACCAACAGAAAGCTTCTAAAGACTGGCCGCGTCTCACCGAGGCTCGGGGTCGATGTGACTCAACTGCAGTCTTTTCTGTGTGTTGACGTTGGGTTACTTTGTCACCACACATGATCTACTCACTTGCCTCATTCAATAAGCATCTGCACCAAGACATGGTAACTGGTGTCAGGAGTGATGGTTCTGCTCTGTAGCACTGATCTGAACCCTAAAGACGCTGGGAGGATCGAGGGAGGAGTGATTAGGTCTCTCTGGCATCCTGGAGGCTTACTGCAGTCACGGGTGGTGCAGTCTGGAGGTGAAGGCTTGCTGTCCTCTAGTCAAGTCCCTAGAGGACAGCAGACTGTGTCCCCATTGGCCTGGCGTGCTGTGTGGACTCCCTGGAGCCACGGTATTCAGTCAGGCCAGGTGAGCGATGCAAGTGGAGAACAGCCATGGGTTACACATGTGTACATTAACCAGGGGTGCGAAGAGAACTCCCTCATCCACAGCACTTTGAGAGAAGGCTTTGTCACTCATAAAGGCTTGACATTTGTGGTTAAGACTAAGTTTTACCTTAATATTATACATAACAGGGCTCTGCACGAAAGCGTAGCAGCTAAAGTCCTCTCCCTGAACATGCCAGAATCCCATATGGGTTCTAATCCAAGCAGCCCTGCTTCCCAGCCAGCTCCCGGCTTGCCTGGGAAAGCAGTTGAGGATGGCCCAAAGGCTTGGGACCCTGCTCCCACGTGGGAGACCCGGAAGAAGTGCTGGGCTCCGGGTTTTGGATTGGCTCAGCTCCAGCTGTTGCAGCCACCTGGGGAGTGAATCATTGGACAGAAGATCTTCCTGTCGATCTCCTCCTCTCTGTATATCTGACTTTTCTGATAAAAATTAACAAATTTTTTTTTAAAAAATTTGTTAAGTATATTGTACACGAAAAGACATCAAAATTAACATCTATGACATATAGAATCATTGCTATAGTTTTTAGGAAGTAGTATGCCTCACTCAAGTTATTTTGGAGATTTATGACAATATTATGTACATTCATTTAAAAAAGATAGTTGAAATAGCATGTTTATATAGTTCTGCTATTGGTAAAGGAGGTCTGACCTGCATTAGAAAATTTGGTCTTCATGTGTATTTGCTAGTGTATAAGGGGACCTGAGGAGAAGAAAGTACACGGGGTTCTTAGAATACGCTTTGCTGCCTGAAAGCCTTGGCTATTCTTGAAGAGGCGAGAATAAGCACAGGACGATGAGATGGCAATACGGAGCAGGTGCCCGCTGACCACAGCTGAGAAATCTCACGGGCAGTTTGAAGGGCAGGCCAGCACACTTCGGAAGTTGTTTCTGTGGAAAAGGGATTTGGTTAAACAGGAAGACTGAAAAAGACCTCGCAGAGAGGAACTCATGCAGAAGACAAATGAATGCAGCCCTGGACGAGGCCGTGGGCAGGGGAAAGTGTGCGGGAAAGGGTCAAAGTAAAGATGATTTTTAATTTTAAAAAGAAAACCATGATGGATTAGGGAAAAGCCACTGTGGATTTCACGTGCTACAGTGATGTGATGGTCGTGTTCAAATGGGTTGGAGGGAATCCAACGAAGAATCTAAAAGGTGGTCTGGTTAATTGCCCAAGTATTGAGACCAGGTGGCATGGAGTCCCATTGCACTAGAGATCCTGTTACATTGTTTTTATATTTTAGAGATGAGAAAATATCTTTCAGTGTAAAATTGCTTGCTCAAAATCAGAGTGCATGAAGTTGAGAGGTGAATGGTTTAAAAAAAAAAAAAACATTTGAATGGTTCCAAGTTTAATGTCAATAAGCTCCTGAAATGAGGGAAGACTCCCTGAATCCTGGCCGGTGTAGAACCAGAGATAGTTGCAGTTCCTCTGGAAAGGCCCAGGAGCGGCTAATACGGGACTGAATAGACAGGAAATTCTCTAATCCTTAGGTTAACAGACCTAGGGGGAAAAAAACCTGCTAGAGGAATGAGTTGTGTATTGGGGGGCTGTCTTGCTGTTGAAATGCAAATGGCTCAAGCCCCCCTCCCCTGATGCCTAAGTGACAACCTTCTTTTACAAGTCTGATACTGTTAAGAACCTTCAGCTATTGACCATCAGGTCAATAACCAGGTTTTGAGTTCTATCCTAAAATAAAAAACCCACACTTTTTTTTCAAAGACAAAATTTGTTTCCATAATCAACATTTACATCCTTACTTCTCATGCCCATGAAAACCCATCTAAGTGGACAGAAGTCCCCAGGGGACATCCCTGGGGTTGAGGGAGGTGGGGCCACGCTGAGGGAGCAGCATCCGGAGAGTCTCAGAGGAATGGTCTTTCCCCACTTTGAACTTGAGGGAAATCGGTCCCGTTTCTTTGCTGTTGCCTGTTCTTCCTTTAAGCAAATTTTGAAATAGTGCTCTGTCTTTGTCAACGGGATACATGCCAAGTGCAGTGCGCTAGTGACTGAACTAAGTGGAAATTACAGTTTGCAGGGTGAAATGGATGGGCCCAGGCCTTTATCTTAATGTAAGCATACCCGTAAATGGAGCTGCAACTGAATTGAGTATACTGACACACGCTTTCCAGGAAGCTTCATCTGAGATGCATGGAGCTGTGAAATTACTGTTATTTGAATTTAAAATCATGGGGTAATCTCAGGTTTAAGTCATTTGTTTAGAGAGATATTCTCCCTAGGGTGTGTTTTAGCCAAATATATTTTTTTATTCTTAATCCCATTCTCATTCTACTTTGCTCACTGTGTTTGCAAATAATTGATGCTGAAATGGCTCATGTCTCCTGAAATGTGACTCTGTCCGAAGAAGAAAAAGCAGCAGCAGGGCCCAGTAAGATAGCCTAGTGACAAAATCCTTGCCTTGCATGCTTCAGGATCCCAAATGGGCACCTGTTTGTGTCTCAGCTGCTCCATGTCCCATCCAGATCCCTGCTTGTGGCCTGGGAAAGCAGTAAGTGATGGCCTTGGAATCCTGTACCCATGTGACATGGGAGATCTGGAAGAAGCTCCTGTCTCCTGGCTTTAGGTTGCCTCAGCTCCAGCCATTGTGGCCACTTGGGGAATGAACCAATGGACGGAAGAAGTTTCCTTCTCTCTGTAGGTCTACCTTCCGAGTAAAATTATAAAAAAGAAAGAAAGAAAAAGAAAAGAGCAGTAATTAATTGGCACAGTTAGACACCCCAATCTCAAATCTGGGGTGTGTGTTTCCAGTCTCAGCTCTTCCACCCTGTCCCAGCTTTCTGCTAAAGCACAGCCCAGGAGGTAGAGATGGCGGCTCGATTGCTCAGATTTCTTCTGCCCAAGGTGACTGAGCTTGGCTCCTGGCGTTAACCCACCTAAGCTGTTGTAGGCATCTGGGAAGTGAACAGGCAGATGGAGGACCTCTGGCTCTCCCTGTAACTTTATTTTTTTAAGGTTTATTTTAATTGAAAAGTCAGATTTACAGAGGAGAAGAGAGAGAAAGATTTTCTGTCCATTGGTTCACTCCTCAAGCGGCCACAATGGCCGGAGCTGAGCTGAATCTAAGCCAGGAGCCAGGAGCTTCTTCCGGGTCTCCCACATGGGTGCAGGGTCCCAAGGCTCTGGGCCGTCCTCACCTGCCCTCTTAGGCCACAAGCAGGGAGCTGGATGGGAAGTGGAGCAGTCGGGATACGACAGCACCCACATGGGATCCCAGCGCTTGGAAGGCAAGGACGTTAGCAGCTAGGCTACAGCGCCAAATAAAAAGATACTTAAAACACACACACATGGACACACATCAGGGTCCTCAAATATACAAACCAGTCTTAATTTCACTCTTTTTTTGGAAAATGTCTAATATTGAGAATGTTTGTTTTTTGGTTGCTTGCTTGCTTGTTTTAAAGATATGTTTATTTTTATTTGAAAGACAGATTTACAGAGAAAGATATTCCATCCATTGGTTACTTCCCAAAATGGTTGCACTGGCCAGAACTGTGCTGATATGAAGTCAGGAGCTTTTTTTCAGGTCTCCCACGTGAGCACAGGGCCCAACAACTTAAGCCATCCTCCAGTGCCTTTTCAGGCCATAACGGGGAGCTGGCTCAGAAGTGGGGCAGCTAGTACATGCACCGATGCCCATGCGGGATGCTGGCATTGGTAGTCTGAGGGTTAGCCTGTTGAGCCATGATGCCAGCCCCTTAAGTTCACTTTTGCCTGCCTAGCAAGGATAAAAGTCAATTTACTAGTGTATTTTCAACACTTTCTATGTCAATAAAGAAATCCATATTCATTTAATCTGTCTGTGGAGTACTAATTAGCATGCTATATGTTTTCCATGTAGTGCAACAGATTCGTTGTCAATGATAATTTTCTTAGTGAAGTTTCAATGAACAGATGTCGGAGATCCAGTTCTTGTGTTTTTAGCTTTTCCGTAGAAGCCATCCGAAGTTGCCTTTCTAAGTGGCTTTCTCCTAAATACCTGAACTCAAACACACTGCGTTGGTCCCTGACCACTTGAGAGGAAATGAGCTAACACTGCACAGCCATGTATGCCGCCTGCCGGTCTCTAACCAGCTGAGGCTGAACAAATCAGATGCTGGACAGTCATTAATCACTCTTTCTTCAAGGTCAGCTCCTCCCCTGCCCTTGCTCGGCTCCCTCCCACACAGCCTCAAAGAACATTCGTGGGCTCAGCGACCAGTTCCACATGGACAGCCTTCCAGATCTCTCTGCTCGATCCTACTGGAATCTGAAAGCAATTGACGGTGATCATTTCCTATTGATTTAATAAATGATTTACTCTCTATGCTAATGTATTCAACCGCATGACTTCAATTCGTTTCCAATTTATCTGTTTTAAATTGCAAATGTTTAAAGCAAGTAAATGCAGAAATTATCTGGGGAGGGAGATGATATTTCAAAATCTCAGCCAAGACCCTCTGCCCCTGTCAGTCGGTGGATTGCCAAGGAACAAGGAGTGTGGGTCAGCCCAGGCTCTGGGATTGCAGCCTGTTCATTGGTGCTCTTGTGCCTTGAACTGCAACCTCTGCGCCCTGTCAGCCTCACCTGCAAGACCACTGCCTGGCCAACCGCACACATTAGGGCATGAAGAGAGGGGGTTCCTGTTTTGAAGTGAACATTCACTACATGTTCTTACAATCTGCGTGTTATTTTAATCAGTGACCTCCACCTTATTATTCTGAGCAACAAATATATTCCTGGAATAAAAGGAACATATTTCCCTTGCTTTTAAGATTTATTTATTTTTATTGGAAAGTCAGATATATAGAGAAAGTAGCAAAGACAGAGAGGAAAATCTTCCGTTCTGATGATTCACTCCCCAAGTGGCCACAACAGCCAGAGCTGTGCCAATCCAAAGCCAGGAGCCAGGAGCTGCTTCCTGGTCTCCCACATGGGTGCAGGGCTCCAAGGCTTTGGGCCATCCTCAACTGCTTTCCCAGGCCACAAGCAGGGAGCTGGATGGGAAGTGGGGCTGCCGGGATTAGAACTGACGGCCGCATGGGATCCTGGTGCGTTCAAGGAGAGGACTTTAGTCAATAGGCCACTTGCCCAGTCCCCAAATTTCTGTTATTATATTAGCACAATTATTGCCAGATGTCTTTGTTACCTTGTGCGTGAAATGCTGCAAAACATACCTTGAATGATCACCTCCAAGACCCCCATTCTTCCTGAAAAGCTTGAATACACCCTCCTGTGTCATTGGCTGGCACGTCTGGCTGGATGAAGAGGCCAGTCATAGGCCGTTTCCCTTCTTCCATTAGGATTCTAACAGAATTTGTAAAAATGTCATTTAGTTCTTACTCTCATCATCGCCCCTTGCTTCAGCACTATCTTTGCTTTTGGCGTGTGTCTGCAGATGGAGCTGGCAATGAAAACTGAGTCTGAGAATCTGTTCGAAAATGACCACATGTGTCAGGGTTCTGCAGCCTCTCCCGTCTCCTTCAGGAATATCTTACACCAAAAAGAAACCACCCGTTTGTTCCTCTAGTCTGTCTTAGAGCAGCACCTTTGGGGACATTCAGGAAAAAAAAAATGTGTAGGTAAAGGTTTAAGAACAGTTTTGCCACGGATTAGGCTGTTGGAAGAAAGGAGAGCCACTCCCTGGGGTGTTGCATGCGCTACCTTAGAACTTTGTCTTTATTTGACAAAACCTGACTTGGGAAATTTACATGGACTTGTTTTTGCCAAGCTTTTTCAGATTCTCTACAAAGATGTCCATTAGTTTGAACAAATCTTTCCATTTCCTTATAATTAGCATTAGCAGAAACTGATCGCAAAGAAGACGTTTTATTGTCTATAATCTTAAAATGACTGGTTGCAGTTCGTCATAAAACAGAGTATAATTATGGAATCTGAACATTGCAAAGTATGGGGCCAGGATTGTTGCATGCTTGATTAAGCTGCTGCCTGCAGGGTAGGCACCCCATTTTTGGCCCTGGTTCGTGTCCCACTTGGTCCAGTTCCCATCCAGCTCCCTGCTAATGTTCCTGGGAAAGCAGCAGAGGGTGGCCTAAGTTTTTGGGCCCCAGCAACCCATATGGGAGACCCACATGAAGCTCTTGGCTCTTGGCTGCAGCATGGTTCACATCTGGCTATTGCAGCCATTTGGGAATTAAACCAGCAAATGAAAGATCTTTGCCTCTGTATCTCTCTTTCTCTCTCTCTCTCTTTCTCTTTCTCTGTGCGTGTGTGTTTCTCTCTCTTTCTGTAACTCTTTCAAAAAACATTTAAAAAAAAAAAAGGAAAGTAATTTCTGTGTCCACCCTACAAAAGAATTTTTAATAGAAGAAGTTCCCAACACTCTTTGACAGCTCACATGGTTCCAGCCTGTAACATGAGTTATTTTGTACTTGGGACAACTCTTCATCGCAGTGGGATCACGTGACTTCTATTTGCATTGCCTGTAGGAAGAGCATTTAGTAAATTGCTGTGGGTGGTGTCCAGGGTTGGCAGAAAAAGCAGCTCTGTTTCTTAAGGTCTTTTAATAGCTACTTAGAATCTTTTGAGAAGCAACTTTTTTTTTTCTCTTGAAATTTTAGAAAGAATTATCATGAAGTTGAAAGGAAGGAGATGATATCAGAATTCATTAAAGTCAACTTTAGGAATGATTTGCTTTGAAGGGCAAAATAAGGAGACTAGCATTCCCAAGCCAGCTGTGTCCCGCAGGCTGGGCTTGCCAGAGTTCAGCTGCAACCACTGTACCTCGCCAGGATGGGTGGGAGCGCCACCTGGGCGTCCTGAAGGCAAAGGTGAAACTTTTCATGGGGCACCCGCATTCCCTTCCCAAAGGGTATACCAAACCTGCTCTTTCGAATTTAAAACATTCCCTGGAGAATTTCGCGATTCCCTTTCCCTGGGGCAGGCACAGTGGGGGGCTGAAAGATAGTTCCGCGAGAGAAAGCTGCCCAGCATTCCGGCATCCTCTAGCCACAGAGCAGATGAGGGTGAGCGAGCTTCCCCTGCTAGCCTGTAGGTGGGTGTGTTGAACAGAAGGAGGCAGCGGAACCCGCCTGTCAGCCAGCCTTTCCAGCTAATTAGCTCAGCACACAACAAAGATAAGTGAGCCTGGGAGGAGGGCCCCCTGAGGGGTCCTCCGATTCTGGGAAATGTCTGATTGGCAGATGTTAAAAGGGATTCTTTGGTAATCCAGTGCATCAATGAGCCGCACAAATTCAGTCCAGGACTGCGAGAATTCAGGCATGAGGACGCCCTGTGCCGGAGTCTCCGCACAGGCAGACCCGAGATGGACAGAACCTTGGAATCTCTGAGACACATCATTGCCCAGGCTTTGCCGCACAGAAACCCGGCTCTGGTCTTCAAAGACTGTGAGTACTTAAAGGGGGAAAAGGACTGTTGGGTTTTCCTTTTTTTTTTTTTTTAACTTCTTTGGAAACAATCCTCCACATCTAGCCCCATCCCATTTCAGCCTGATTTCTCCTAAGCCTGCGCGGCCGTGTGCTGAGGTCTGAGTGATGCGTGCTCCTGACTTCAGCCAGGCGTCTCACGCACCGGCTCCGGCCGCCACGGTCATTTTGCCAGCAAAGCCTTTGACTTTCCAAAATCTAAGACCTGCCGCAGTGGCCAGGAACCTCACCCAGATGCTTCTTAAATGAACACAAAGCTGGCAAAGACTAAAAATACAACCTAGAGATGATGATGAAAAACACATCTATATTTCTCATGTGTTTAATCCTCCGCAGTATAAAATTCACGGTGCTGAATCGAGTGCTGAACATTTCTGTGCCGAGCAAAAAGTTAACAACAAATCACCTCTGCGCTTTTAAATTGTGCTAATAAATTACAAAATGCTTGGGTTAAAAGGCCAATAAAAAGAGAAGCCTTCCGATCTTAGAAACCCTCCCTCCTCAGACAGCAGGGCACAGTCATTTAAAAAAATCTTTAAAATTGATCATGAACAACAATTCCATCAAGCTTTCCAATTCTAGCAATACTATTAAAGCATTTGTCATATAACTTCATTTCTGGAACCAATTTGATTTCTTGCTGCTTCGAAAGAGACTATCTTCACGGTGTATCTTATCTACACTGGGTTTCACGTTACAAAGGCTTCTGAAAGAGAGCTCTGCTGTGGAACCGCCCGAAAGGTAAAATGCATGTGGATTCAAAAAAAAAAAAAAAAAAAACTTCAATAGGCTACAGCTTTTCCTCTGCATCAAACTTCAATGGTTTGGATTTTTGCTTTCTGATTGCTGAATACCGTTCCCTTCCAGATGTTCTTTTCGTTTATATTTCTTGTGTGCATGAAGAAGAAAGAGAAATGTGGGGCTATTTTGCTCTATAAGATTTTCCTCCTAGAAATTAAATTGCAACCTCTCTAAGTGAAAACCATTTCTTTCCTTCTTTCTACCTTTCTTTTTCTTTTTAAAACTGATATCTTCAAGCATTTGTCCATAGCTATGTTAGAACTAATAGAAATCACCCCCTCCCTAGCCCTGCCTGGAATGCATTCAAACTTGGTATGTTTCTGTAAGTGAAAAGCGGGAAAGAATGTCCTACAATGGCACTGGATTCCTGGGGAGGGATGAAAGGGTTGCCTGTCTGCCCAAAGCTCAGATAAATTGTATGGGAGTGGGGGCCCAGAAAGGGGTTCTTAAACTGAAAATTTGGATAATGGAGGCAGTAAAACAAAAAAAAAATTTCTCACTGAGCTTACTGCACATTTTAAATTTAAATTTTCAAGTTTAAATCTGAAGTTGTACAATTCACTTGTTACCCTAAACAGGAAGAAAGAATGGGGGGGGGGGGTTGGGAAGTAGGAGTGCGGGGAAGGTTACAATACCGCATATAGTAAATGTTGTCATCAAAGTTTTCACTCATTAACCTAGAGGTTCAATTGGACCACAGGGCTTCTGGCTGTAGAAACCAAACCGCCAAACCTCTCACCTGGGGGTGGGGGGCGGTGTGGAAATGACTGATTGGGAGGCGAGCCGCACGGGTCTGTGCCATCCTCGGGGAGGAAGTGGGAAGGGGCTCGCAGGCTTTCGCGGGCAGGGCCAGGGCGTCGTGGGGGTGTACGCCAGGCCACCGAAACCTGTGGATGCTGTGCGCGCCGGAGCCTGGCACGTGGTCCTTGGCACGGCCGACGGTTGCTGCGGCCAGCCCTGATTGGCAGGTGGAGATGGGCAACCCCCCATCTCCTCCCACACACCTCGGCTCCGCCCCGACCCCACCCAGCCCCGCTCGGGTCCGTCTCAACCTACAGGAAAAGACTGAAGGCTAGAGCTCATCATTGCCAGTTCCTGAAGAAAAATGACCACCTTGCCTTGCTGCAAGATGAAAAGCTGATGCAAGAATTCCCTCGACACAGTCCCCGCTGAGCAAAGCAGCTTTAAAAACCACCTCGAGGAGTCCCCTAAATGTCTCCTGTGGATGCAAAGACGGCTTCTCTCTCTCTTTCTCTCTCTCTCTCTCTCTCTCTCCCCACCACCATCCCCCCAGGGAACACACAACACACAAGGAGAGCAAAGGGTCTCTCAGTTTGCTTTTGATTTGCTTAAAAGCTTGCAGTAGTGTCTGAAATTTCTCTTCCAATTGGCCAGGGGAAGCACCCAGGGAGTTTTCTGGTCTAAGACACGTGGGAATAGTTAGGTTCGTGTAAGAAATAACATGCAAATGTGCTCAGCCAAGGAGTCCCTTCAAAGGGCATTGGAAACACATGAAGTCTGCCCTTTGATTCCCGACAAAGTGCTCATGTATCAGTTGTTCTGATTTGGGCTTTTCTTATACTCTCTTCTGCAAGAGAATTAAGTCTGTAACGCTCTCTTCCTCTCCTTCCTCCCACCCCCACCCCCATTTCACATTTCAACCGGCGAGTCATGGAAACAGGTTGCGAATGGAGTGGGCTCCCCAGTAGAGCCTGCTCGGCTGAGTTGACGCGGGCTGCGTGGATATCTGTGTTACAACAGGTGACTGAAGCTCTCCACGCTGCCACCCTGAACCCCAATTCTTGGGTGGAGCAAGTCCTACTTCCTCCGTGTCACCCGCCATCCTCAGTCGGTGCGAAGTCCAATCTGCTTTGGCAGACTTCCCAAAAAACTGCCTCCATTTGCTCTACCTAGGCAGCCTGCGTGCAAGCTTGTCGCCTGCCACGATGACGGTTCTGCACATTCTTTCTCAAAGGAAATCACCTCGTGGTCCTTTCTCCCCATCCTTTTTTTTTTTCTCCCCCTCCCCCCCTTTTCTTCAGTTTCACCGCATGATTTCAACGTGGCTGCACCAGCAGGTCCTAATCAGCGAGTTCATTTTTCCTGTTACAGTAGCGTGTTACATTGTGTCCTGTCTTGAGGTCTCTTCCTTCAGCCATGGAGTGGGGCAGGCACTGCGCGCTGGGGATACATACGTACGCAGGGTTGGGGACAAGGACTAGATTAGGGTAATTTATCCAGGAATCAAGCGATAGAATCCAAATTCTGTCATCCAAACCCTTCATCTTTTTTAAGATTTATTTTATTTTTATTGTAAAGGTGGATATACAAAGAGGAGGAGAGACAGAGAGGAAGATCTTCCATTCGATGGTTCACTCGCCAGGCGGCCGCAACGGCTGAAGCTGAGCCAATCCGAAGCCAGGCGCCTCTTCCGGGTCTCCCACTCGGGTGCAGGGTCCCAAAGCTTTGGGCCGTCCTCGACTGCCTTCCCGGGCCACAGGCAGGGAGCTGGATGGGAAGCGGGGCTGCTAGGATTAGAACCGGCGCCCATATGGGATCCTGGGCGTGCAAGGTGAGGACCTTAACCACTGCGCCATCTCGCCGGGCCCCAAACCCTTCATCTTAACCCAGCTTTCAGCCACTGTGCATAGGAGGTGGCAAGTAATACCGTCCACCCATGTTGGAAACCCAGCTGGAGACCCTGGCTTCAGCCTGTTCCAGTGCCTGCCGTTGCAGATTGGGGAGTAAACCACAAGCTGGGGGATTCTCACTCAGTCACTCTGTTCTCCCACCACCACAAATAAAGGGGGAAGAGGGAATGAGCTCTTCTCTATGAAGTGTGAAGGAGGGAGCCTCTTCGATTGTCACATCTGAACAGGGCTGTGAAAGCAAAGTGGACAGGGCAAGGGCATGTGCGGGGCGTGGGAACCGCTGGTCCACGGCCGGGGCACTGTGGGAACAGCGCACAGAGGGAGGCAGAAGACAGCTGAGCAGGCAGGTGGGTCCCGCTGACATGCAGGCAGCAGGAGGCCATGGGAGCATGGTGATCCTAGATGTGTTGTCCAAGTTTATGCGGGAAGGCTTGTTCAACTTCTGTGGGAGGTGCACTTCCTGGAACCTCAGATATCAGTGCAGCTTTCCTGCTTGAGAAACTGCCAACTCTGGCAAGTTGCAAGGTTTGCAGAAGCCGAAGATGGTGATAGGGGAGAGGCCACTGGCACTGACTGAGAGCCAATCTTTTAAAAATCAGATTATTATTATCATTTGTCATTTTAGCCATGAAAATGAGTGCTTTCTTGCACTGACAAAGTGACATGTTTGATTTTACTAATAGTTTCCCCAAATTTTACAATGAGAAAAATACAATGAAACCTTAAGTATTTGGACACGTGGCAGCCAATTTCTCACATACTTGAGGTGCTTTCCTTCTTCCATTGGAGAAACAGTTTTTTTTTCTTGCCTGAAAGCCTTCATTTATATCAGATAGGTGAACACTTTACTTCAAAGAGTACCTTCTCAACCTATGAAAAAATGGAACCAGCCTGTGGGGCTACTAAAAACGTTTGAGTAATCTTGAGTCTGTCTGGAAGAGGTGTGAGCGAGGAGGAGCCCTCCAGAGGCGTGCTTTTTCACCAGCCCCTGGTTTTCAGTATAGTTCCGTGAAATCTTATCAATTTAGAGATGCATTTGTAGTTTTTGCATTTCATTGAGACGAAGGGATGCGAGGGAACGAGGTCTTTCTGCAGGAATCTCCCTCCTCCGTTGGCTGTGCCATGAGCAGTGCTCCTGGAAGAGCTCAGAACAACACAAACGCTGCTTGCTTGCTCTTTTTCAGCGTGAAGATGTCTTAATTACAATAATCTGAACTTCAATCATTTCAGCACTCAGCCGTGTAGGCGTTCTACTGGAGCCTCTGCAAGCGCTAATTTTGCATTATTTATTACAAGACACAACGACTTCTGTTTGAATTTTTACTTGGCGAGAAACGGAGATTTCGATTCAGCTCTCAGTGGCATAGAGCTGTTCTCTTTCCTTTTTCAGTAAACATTCATTTGACAAGAGTTTAAACATTCAATCTTATACCCTAGAGGAAAATTTTTCAAAACGGGGGTGGGGTGGGAAAAGGTGGTCTCTTGATCACTTAGAGGCATATCTGTTCT